TCTGTTCTCTTGGTGCGTTATTATTTTTCTACTAGGTTCTAATATATTTTAAACAGTTTTAGTAATTAAAGATAGATTAAAAATAATAAAAAATATGGTCTCTATCCCTAGTTGCCATCCTCGGAGTGTTTTATAAATATATTCGAGAGAGTTTAGGGGAGATCACTCCCGCTTTTTACACATGGAACCGTAAAGGCTGACTCTCCTACCGTCCTAATATTTCTGCTCTCGCCCCTCCCCCATCACCACTACTAAAAGAATGATTTCACACAGACAAATTAACATTGGGCTAAATTTAATCCAGATAAACTGTATAAAAAGTGGATGTAAGCTACCTACTTTACATTGTTTAACCACCCCCCACAGGCAACAAGAGAGTAGCCACAACCTCCTTCCCCTCATTACCTGGACTCACATCACAGATGTTTCATCATCATCTTTTCCTTTGTGTGCTTAAGACAAATGGGTCCACCACAGAAAGCTGTTTCCGCCTTTGCGGTCTCTCAATTTTCTTGGCAGTTCCCCAAGTTAGTCCTGCTCACATCAATTTGGTTTTGTTTTGTTTTTGTTTTTTCTGCTGTGAGTCTCCACGTCTCCCTTGGCCTTCCACATCATCGATGGATGTTCCCTAAACCCGTGCTATGCAAACAATTATTACCATGATTTATGTTGAGATTTAGATTCTGAAACATTAATTCTGAAGATTCATTGATAGAGCCATGTATGTTATATACAGTGTCATTTGAGGCTCATATAAATACCCATGTATACAGGGCCAAATGTGGCTTATTAAAATACCCATGTATGTATTATACAGAACCATTTGTGGATCATTTAAATACCTTTGTATGCCATATACAGAGCCATAAGTGGCTCATATAAATATCCACGATCGCTCATAATACACAGCCATATGTGCCTCATTTAAATTCCCATGCATGCCATATACAGAGTCGTATGAGGTTTCTGGGCCATCATTTAACTTAGAGCGTTAAAAAATATTGCCCTACTTTCTAACCAGATGACCAAGTCAATAAACAAATCAATGTAACATTTACCTAACGAAACAAAATGATGTTGTTCGTTGATTGCGTGCTCATTAGTTCAAGAAGTGCATTGCGTACGTTGATACTTTGTTGGTATATGTGCCATGCATCTAGAAGTGCTTGGCAATTACAGAAATGTAATATGTTACATGCTTATAAATGCATTATGAGCTTCAGTGGCGTATCCAGGATCGTCTAAAGTGGGGGGTTCCAATTTTTACCCGGGGACAAACTTTCGATTTGCAACCCCCCCCCCCCATCAAACTTTCGATTTGCACCCCCCCCCCCATACTTTATATTTATACCGAGGGTCTATGGGGGGTTATGACTCCCCCTAACCCCCCCCCTGCCTACGCCACTGATGAGCTTAAATAAGTGTGTCTATATTTACTGCATTTTATAAGCATAGTATAACTTCTCACATATCCTGATCTATATGGTGACTTGGGAAAAATATGAAACAATTTAATAAAAGCAGGGTTTGTAAGCCTGTTGTGTTTTGTTAAACTTAGTAACATTTTCTTTTAAAAACTATTCGTTTTATTTAGTATAACACGTATAATTGCTCTACCTTCATAACCATGTTCGTGTATTTTAGTAGATAGTTTGACACTGTGTGATCATTAATAGAGCCCTGTATGCTCATATACAAGAACCTAAGTGGCTCATATAGTTATCCATGGATGCTTATAATATAGACCCATAAGTGGCTCATATAAATATCCATATATGCTCAAATACAGAGCCATATGTTGATCATTTAAATACCCATGTATGCTTATATGTAATGCAGTATGTGGCTCATATAGTTATCTTTGCATGCTTATAATACAGAGCCATAAGTGGCTCATATAAATACCCAAGTATGCTCATATACAGGGCCGTATGTGGCTCATATGAATAACCATGTATGCCATATACAGAGTCACATGCGGACTCTTTAAATATCCATGTATGCTCATATACAGAGTCATATGTGGATCATTTAAATATCCATGTATGCTCATATACAGAGCCATATGTGGAACATTTACATATACATGTGTGCTCATATTCTGAGCCGTATGTGGCTCAAAAATATATGGGCCATCCTTTAACTCAAAAGCGTTAAAAAGATATTGTCCCACCTTCTAACCCGATGACCGAGTCAATACACAAATCAATGTTTTAATTATATTCATGATGAACTATGACCTAGTTCAGAGCGTAAACTTGGAGGGTCGACCTGGTAACATATTGTGCCCTAGTTCAGTGACAAACCAAATATTCTCAATGGCCTTCATTCTCGTCACTTACACTACATAAGCATACCAGATACACATACGTATTCATATATATATATATATATATATATATATATAATTTCTTACGTATTTTGAAAATAAATATTAATGCAATGCAATATTTAAATTACAGGAATTTTTATTTCTTTTCTTTTTTTTAAATTTGACTAAATACACATTTATGACAAATGTATTTATATACATGATTTTGCATAATCAGTGATTCCCATGAATTATATTTACAGGAAAATTACTAGCAACTTGTTTGTTTCCTTAGAATTAGTATTTTTAGAGCTGAAATATTTATATCTCGAGGCTAACGTTTCACACCCTTTTCAGAAGCTTTATCTTGCTAGCTCTGGTATTTTGATTGAACCCAAAACATTTTGCTTGAGTTATTCTTGTAACATTCTGTTTCAGGCACACAAAACGTGTATAAAGAAATTTTCCCACCCAAAAAGTCAATAAGGTTAACTTAATTTCTCTCCTCGGTGAGATTAAACCTGATTAGCGCACGAGATTAGGATTGACTATTGAACTCGCGTGAAAAGAAACGCCCTCGGTTGTATTCAAGTCGGATTAGCAAGAATGAAAAGTTAAGAGAACGAATTTATAAGAGCATGACTTTTTATTTATAACTTGGAGAAAATGCTACGTGTATTACTGGGGAGGGGTGGGGAGTTAAGCCAGTTGTGTACTTTTCTATTTATTAATTTATTTTTTTACCACAATGTCTTAAATATTTCTTACCGTAAGCAAATTCTGCTTTAAAAAAAATATTTACTTGGAAAAAAAATAATTCTAAAAAACATTTATCTCAAGCGTTATATCTGAGATATATTTAGCGCAAATGATTCAGAATTGTCAACGTTTCCTTTTTGTACCCACGGGGATGCAAAAATAGGCTTGGGCTTGGTGTCTTGGGCTTGGTTGTCGAGGTGTTGACTTCTGTATCACAGCTTTCATACTGCATCAGTCATACTTTGAGGAGTTGCTCCCCTTTCACCAGTAGTTCAATTTTTTTTTTTTTTTTTTTTTTTTTTTTTTTTTTTTTTTTTTTTACGAAATAAGATTGAAAGAAATAGATTTATTTATCTTTTTAATTAATCATATCGTCATCAATTTAAAAGCATAAAGGAATAAGTATTTGCAGTTAAGGATGTTTTCTTTCATTAACTGTTATTAGCTAGCTTCGCAGTACCTGCATTCTTTGTATGCGCTATGTGTGTAGTTTCGCATAATGTCCGGCTAGTTACTTAATTTTTTTAGTGTATTTTAGTACTATGATTATGTTTTTATTTGTTTAATAGAAATAATAATTAACATAAATCAAAAGGTGAAACGTAAAAAATCCAATTGAAATACCTAAATATACTAATTTCTAAGTACGAGCCTCATGTAAAAGAATAGATACTACACTCAATAATTTAAACTTTGCCAAACGCCTCCAAAACATTTTGGCCTTTTTTCTTTTATATTTGATAAATAGTGGATCCAATAATACTATTTAGAAATTGTACTAGATTAGATCTAACTAATAAAAAAATATAGGCTAGTTAATTCTTTTTAAACTTAGTTTTGCACACTTTAACAGACACAGGCTCATTACAGACAATTTTATAGTTTCATATCTGAATAAATTAAGTATTCAATACAACTAATGGTTTACTATTTAAACCACGGTAGGACAAAATATTTAAATTATGAGTAGGGTAAAAAGAAAAAAACAACTCGCTTCAACAATTTTTTTTTAAAATTGAGTAATATAACACGCTATCATTAGTTCCATTGACACGGAATTTCTCTGTGTGTTTCCGAGTTGCGAGAACTCAGTTTCGATTGTTTCCCTTATCACTTCTGAATACATTAAAGGGAAGTAGCAAAACTTTTAAAAATTGTATTGGACATAGAAAGTAAATATGGTATATATATATATATATATATATATATATATATATATATATATATATATATATATATATATATATATATATATATATATATATATATATATATATATACATATATATATATATACATATACATATATACATATATACATATATACATATATACATATATACATATATATATATATATATATATATATATATACATATATATATATATATATATATATATATATATATATATATATATATATATATATATATATATATATATATATATCAATGGGCTCATTTCTGGGTTCCGTATTGTGTACATATATTTGAGTTAAAATATTTTCAGATCGCTAACTGAGCTCATGTTGTTTAAAATATAATTGTAAACAAAGGGAAACATTGATTAAGTGGAGAACTTGTCAACGAACAAACATAATAAACGTAAGTGAGTTAAAATTTATTTAAACAAAATCCAGTAATAGGGAGGGAAAACCATGTACTTCTTAAATGATACTTTTCTAGTAAATATGACAGAATTTTATTGAACTCCAACGGTACCTAACTCACGTTAGGGCAAGTAAAGGCAGCTGGGCATACGCCGAGGTCCTAAAAACAGTTGAACTCTCATTTGCCCTATTGACCGTCAGGTTTGAAAAGGGAGGGAACTTCACTATAAAATTATCTTACTGAAAATAATTTACAATAAGATCACTTATGTTTGTTTTTTTGTTGTTTTTTTTTCATTAATAAATAAATACAAACGAAAACAAAATACAGTTTTTTATTTCAAAGTTTAAAATTCACATCAAAAAGCGTTAAATACATAAGATTGACGTAATGAGCAAAATAAAATTATTTTCAGATCTGGCTTTGAGCAGGGGGAGAAGAGCATTTTAACTGGAAATTTGTGTTAAAGGAATTTGATGCTTTATATAACGTTGAAGTACTGTCCATAGGAAGTTGATGATTCATAAGGTGTTGATGGATAACAAGAAGTTGATTTTTTTCACTTCAAGTTGCTGTTTCCAACCGCGAAGACAGTTCATTGGAAGTTCATGTTCCCCAAAAACATTTATGTTTCAAAGGATGTTGATTTTTTTGTATGAAGTTCATATTACCAAAAACATTTGTGTTTCAAAGGATGTTGATTTTTTGCTGGAAGTCGATGGTTTTCTGGGACGGGAAGGTTCGTGACGACGGGTTGGAGACAGATAGAAGTCACGTGACTCGAGAAGATAGTGACGACGAAAACGAGACACTGACGGATTGTGTTAGCTGACGTCACGTTGAGACAGTGATGATGTCACCTCTGAATGTCTTGCCATCACGTGTCTTGTCATCATGCCACTCTACTGTTGTTCGACTAGAGAAAAAAAAATTGACCGTTCATCATTTTTTTTTTTTAATCTGCATGTCTTTTTTTTATAAAATGTATGTATTTGTTTAGTAAATGATCAGTGTCTAGGTCTATTTTTCAAGACTACTTATTTGATGTATTGAATAAAAACAAGCCATTAGATACTTTTTAGCATGTATATAAAAGCTTGCAGCGAGTGATTTGGATAAAAGTGAGACTTCGGGGAGGGGGAGGGGAGATAGATGTAGGACAACTTTCTTTTATTGAAATGTAAAAGGTGTAATAATATAAAATGGTGCAAGTGTTGTCTAAATCAACAGTGAACTTTCAGTTAACTAATGTGGTGCCAATGGGACGGTATGGCCTAAGCGGTTGAGCACTAGGCTGCTAACCCGAAAGTCTCGAGTTCAAATCCGAGTTTAAATCAGTGGAACGTCTCTGAGTCCACCCAGCTTCGATTGGTTACGAGCTCATGTTGGGAAAACAAAGGTAGCTGAGAAAAGTGCTGAGTAACACCTTCCCTTCATATGCTAAGATCAAGAAACATATGAACTCTTCTTCATCTGCCCAACGGAGAGATCGGTTTGAAGAGGATCCTTTACTTGTTTACTTTTTTAATGTGGTGCTCATAGTATTAGCACCAGATACCAAGATGTAAAGCTACGCCTGTGCCTATAGCAGGGGTCGGCAACCTGCGGCTCGCGAGCCGCATGCGGATCTTTTGATATCAAGATGCGGCTCTCCAGCTCTTTGAACAAATACTAATAATCTTAATAAAAAATAAAATATTTTAAATACAAAAAAATGTTAGTGGCTCTTTAAATCCATTGAAATTTTGAAAAGTGTAACTTTTGGCTCTTCCGCTTCAAAAGGTTGCCGACCCCTGGCCTATAGCCATTACCCGGCAGCAATAGACGTAACCCTAACCACTTACCAATGTGGCCATTAAGCTACCTGCAATAGACCTAACCCTAACCACTTACAAATGTGACCATTACCTTCCTGCAATAGACCTAACCCTAACCACTTATAAATGTGACAATTACCTTCCTGCAATAGCCCTAACCTTAACCACTTACCAATGTGACCATTAACCTACCTGCAATAGACGTAACCCTAACCACTTACCAATGTGGCCATTGCCCTGCCTCCAATAGACCTAACCCTAACCACTTACCAATGTGATGGTAGAGCTCTGTAGTCCGGCCAGCTTGCTCCCGTTCATGTTGGTGTACTCACTCCAAAGTCGAAGTCTCCTGTCCATTTTAGCTAGGGCGATCTCAGACATGTCCTCAGGGGGAAGTTCAGCCGCGCTGTATACATAGACATACATTCATACATATACATACATATACAGTCATTTGTTTATTGATTGTAAATGTATAAACACTTATACATCATTTTATTTTAATTTAAATTCATTTTTATGCATATATATATATATATATATATATATATATATATATATATATATATATATATATATATATATATATATATATATATATATATATACATGTAAAATATTTAAATGTAGGTGAATATGCATATTGGCATAGTCTAACGTCCCCCCGACCCCACCACCGCAACCCCCCCCCCCCCGAACGAAATGGAATTTACATAGAAAATATATACATTTAACAGTGTCCGTCCCCCACGTCCGTCAGTATGTAGGTGTAGGTGTGCGTGGGTGTGTAGGTGTACGTGGGTGTGTAGATGTACGTGGGTGTGTAGATGTACGTGGTTGTGTAGGTGTACGAGTAAATATCTTAGCCCACCATCTACCTGTCGCTATTCATGTGTAACCGCTTCATGACGTTGATAATCTCTTGTTCCTCCACATTCCTCGTCTGTCTCTCAGCCCCAATGTTCGTCCCTTGTCGCACTTTGGCGTTTTTACTTCGTTTTACCTAGAATAAATATTTTTTCAAACTTATTTATTCAGCTTCAAAATATTCAATGGTCCCGGACTATTTATTAAATATTGTATTTTTTTAAATTTTCAATTAAAATATTTAAGGTTCCAAAACTCTGTATTGACATTTTTTATTTTAAAAATCTTGAATAGTCTCCCCTTACCTCTTGTAAGATTGACGAATCCATGAGTTTAATATTGAGAAATTTTAAAAACGCCACTTTGTTCGGGTCCGACTGGTATATGTAGAGGCAGAGTTTGTTGGCCAGGACCTCTTTCAGTTTATCCAGGGTTGCCAGGGCGTACTTCCGCTTGAACATCTTCTCGAACTGGGATTTCTTCAGGACCAAAAGTTCACAATCACCGGGCGCTGTGGCGTTCTCTATGTATGTCTCCAGACCCAGGATGATTTCCAGAGACCCTGGGGAAGTGAAGGAAATAAATTATTAAGTACCCTAATAAATGCAAATAAATTACCAAGGATCGTTATGGATGCAAATAAATTACTAAGAACCCTGGGGAATTGAAGAGAAGAAATTAATAAGACGAGCCGGCCCGCGGCATAACATACGCCGCTATTTAGTTGTTTCTAATTTTCAATAATTCATAATTTGTGAATTCGACAGTACCAACGCTGACACTGAAAATATTTCTTTAAAACACTATAAGTAGCTCGTTAAGGACCATAACCCCCCCCCCTTCCTTCCCCCCCTCCCCCCCCCTACCTTTAAAATCGTTGGCCCTGCTTGTAAACATTTAGAGTGAACACAGCTCACTAAAACCATGTAGGGGTGGGGAGGTAGGGAGAGCGTTTGCAGCTTGTTTTCTAACGGCTCGAAGAGGAGAATTATATATATAGATAGTTGGGGAATTGGGCAAAAAATTGACTAAGCACCCTTGGGAATGGATGTAAATTATTCACCAATGATCTTTGGAAATGGATGAAAATAAATAACCAATAACCCTGAGTAAGTGGTGAAAATAACGACCAAGGGCGATAGGGAATTGATGATAATAAATTACCAAAAACCCTCGGGAGCGGAAGAAAATACATTACCAACTAAAATATTTTTGGAGATTTGAGAACAAATGTATTTCGACATCAGTCATCATATTGACATGATAATTTAAAACGATGATTGGAAAAATTAAGCTAATTAAAGTAAAACAAAAAAGAAAAACTGGAAAAAAAACTACAAATGAATCAATGTATTTAAAAAAAACGAAATTAAGGAAATATGTAAGACTCCGTAGTATTTTGTTATGTTAACTCGGACACCACTCTGTTAAATAAAACCTATATAATTTTAACCTTTACCTTTAACTTCTTTACTATCGTCTCAATATAAGTATGGTAGCCACTCGGCTTCCACCCCCCCCCCCTTCTGACGTCACAATTGACAGTTTACCTATGATTTCGTTCTCTCCCAGAATACAAATTTTCTGTGGCTTGTGTCCTGCCATCCTCTCCTTCCTCAACAAGTGTGGTGCTTGCGGTATGGACTTGGGGCTAAATGGTGGATCGGATACAAATAACGTTCGTTAATAGTTGACTTTTCATCGGGGTAAAGTTGGATTAGAAAAGTAACATGTTTATTTAGGTTAAGTTACGTAGTTCGTGAAAGACTGAATTATGGATTTGAAATATTTTAAAATATAGTTTGTTATTCGTTCTTTTGTTGTTGTTGTTGTTAACGGAGCTGTATCCACGGCTGTTGTTGTTGTTATCCACATTTCATGTAGAGGTATGTCTGGGTGGCTAGTTGGTAGGGATTCGTCTATCGTTATGTGGAGGCGCATACCCGACACCCTTGTCTTCTGTCGGTTACTGCGATTAGGATGTTTAGTGCCTTGTTTCTGTAGTTTAGTTTGATGTAGTTTGGTGTGGTTTCGGTCTTGTCTGTGTACATTGTGCAACTGCGGTTGTTTGTGTGAGGGGTTTGCAGAGTTTCTTCCAGGTAAATCTTCAGGTAGACTTTCTTCCCCCGAAGAAAGTCTACCGCCCCCCCCCCACCCTAACGAGATGAAATTCATATAGTAAACATATACTTTTACTAGTGTCCGCCCCCCCCCCCCTTTCCCCTGGGCCACGGAAAAAAAGTCTGGAAGAAACACTGGGGCTTTGTGTTTGATGTTGGTTCTTTGTTGCTAAATATTCTTTGTGCTTGCATGGGTATATCGCTGCTGAATGCTGGATGAACCAATATAAGAATTCCTTAGATTTTGTCTTTTTCATGTAGCAAGAAGTACAATGCATATGGACAGTGTGTCTTGGTTGTTATGGGCATCGCGATGACGTCGAAAGCTTATGAGAAGTACCAGGTGTCTTCTCTGCCGTAATTGAGTAAAAGAATTTGTTTGTTGTGAAGAGCTGTCTTATAATATGGCCGCGCAGGTTGGGTTGTTTTCTGGATGTGATTAGTAGCCTACTTGCATTTGGAAAACTGTTGCAGTTGGAATAATGCACCTTTTTCATCGGGTAGTTCTAGAGTTACTGTTGTGGAATCTGAAAAGGTTTGGGCCGATTGTTTCATTAAATCACTTCTCATCGGCTCTCGCTTTAGAGGGAAAAGTGAGAGATACCCCGCTGCTGAGGTTGATTAAAATGGCTTGTTGCTTCATTAGCGAGGTTAGCACAATTTCAGAAAAAAGTTTGTCCTTAGGTCGTCTTAGCGTTAGATTGTCTAGGATAGACTTGGGTGATCGATATGTGTTATGTGGTGAGTTTGAGGGTTTACGCGGAATTTTTTCTGCTAATACTTCCGGATTATAGGTAATTAATTAGAGGTTAGTTAACACAAAAAACAGTTTATATTAATACTTTTTTTTCACCTTTTTGTCAAAATAGTTTGTTGTCGATTTTAATTTGTTGTAAATTATAATTCGTTATAATCTATAATTTGTTATTAATTATAATGTTATCAATTATAATTTGGAATCAATTATAACTTGTGATCTTTATTATTTCGTGATCAATTATACCTTGTTAACAATATCATTTTGTTACAGATTTTAACTTATATTTTAGCGAGTCGCAAAGCAAGAAAAACAGGCCTAAATAAAACATAATTAAAAGGACATTTGACCAAAACCAGAAAACTGAGTTTTACTTTATTTATCTATTAATAAAACATTTATTGCTGTTAATGGTTTTCTGTAAGGACTTAAATACGGATTTAAATAGGTTCAATTCTATATAAAACATAATTTTTTAAGAAAAAACAAATACAAAATATATATTTATAATTTATACAATAAAAATTGATCATATGTTTTTTACTTTGTACTATTAATTTTACTATTTTTTTAAGTTTATTTGTGAACATTGATAGAGGTTGTATCCCTTAGATTCTTTCCCATTATCTTAAAATGGGAGTTAACTAACACAGATTACTCCAAAGTAAACTGTTAGTAACGTTGCAACGTGCCAACATAAACGAAAAAAATTGAAGTTCTAAAAAAGTATTATATTTATTATACAATAAGATTACAATTATAAACTATATAGTTTTACTTATATTGTATACGTATATTTTATATCGCGGATTTCTTTTCAAAAGCTCTCCCATCCATTAGTTAGAGCACGGGTTCCCAAACTGGGTGTTGCGACCCCCCTGGGGGTCGCAAAGGGCTTTCTGAGGGGTCGCCAAGTGGTATACTAAACTTAAGCAATGAGAAACAAAACATAAATATTTAGAAGAATACCTGGAACTCGGCTTTACTAACATCACAGGAAATGGAATAGAGAAGAAGCCATGTGTACTGTGCAAAGTTGTTCTTATTCATGAGACTATGATACCTTCTAACCTAAAACGTCATTTTAGACGAGTCATTCGGAACACACACAAAAATACGGAGTTCTTTCGTCGGCATGAAGCTAGTTGCAAACGTCAGAGACTTGATCGAACACGAAGTTTTCTTAAAGGAAACACAGCATTAGTGCAAGCATCAAATGAAGTCGCGATAGAAAATGCCAGGCAAAAAAAAAACATAATAGGAGAAAATCTCATCAAACGCTGCATGTTGAAGATGGTGAAATTTATTCTTAGGGATTCCAGTGCAGTAAAGATGCAACAAAAATCTCTGCCTAATAATATGATTCAACGGCTTATAGTTGACATTTCCGTAGATGTTAAAAACCTAATTTTTAATTAAATCAAGCTTTCACAACTGTTTGCTTTTCAAGTTTATGAACCAACAGACATTAGTTCGTGTTCGCAGTTGCTGTCTTTGTCTATATTCATCCAGATAATAGCAAAGAAGAGTTGCTATTTTGTGAAGATAGCATGGAGAAAATAAGTACGTTTTTTGAAACTGGGGGATTAAAATGGGTGAAAACAGCTGTGGGGGTTTGTACGGATGGTGCGCCATCTATGCTTAGGTCAAATTCGGGCTTTCAGAAAACAGAAAAGATTTAGCTCCCTAACCAGTGACCTCACCATCAAGATGCTTCCGACTCCATTGCTGGTAAAAGTCATAAATTATATTAAATCTGGAGCCCTAAACACCCGTCTGTTTAAAGAACTGTGCAAAGACACGAATAAAGATCACGAGGTTCTGCTTTTCTACATTACTGTACGCTGGCTGTCAAACGAAATGTTGTGAATCGTGTTTTTTAATTGAAATCTGAAATCAAAGTGTTCTTGGAAGAGCAAAGGAAACAAGACCTTTTGATATAATTTAACGACAAAGAGTGGTTGGAGAGAGTATATACCTAGCAGATATATTCGAACATCAACATAAGCTTAACCTGAAGCTTCAGGGAAAATGAACGAATATTATCACTTTCCATGATAATCTAGGGGCATTTTTATCAAAGCTGCAAAATTCACTATGAAAATAAATCATGGGAATATTGAAAATTTGATAAACTCTGCAGTGTGGTAGATGAATCTGATTGTGAGATTATTAAAATTTTGAAAGAAGCGATTTC